GGTTCACCATCATGTACAGTGGATACCCAAATACTGATAAGAAGAGAAGAACACATCAGAAAAATCACCTGCTGTTCTGAAAACAGCAGAAGACCATTTCCACCACTCATGTAAATCAAGAGAGCAGGCCACACATTCAAAATGGGCAGAAAAAACGTAAAACATAATAAGTTGTCTTTAAAATGTTGTTATTGGCAATTGTTGATTAATTTATTCTTTACTTTCGCTTTCAGGGCAACAGCTCAGACAGTCCGATGCCATCCACATCTGAGTCCAGCACTCCCAGTGGCCGACGACCTCTATCGCAAACTCCAACCCGCTCTCGCCCTCACATCTCCTACTCCCCCCTCGTGTGTCGCACACAAGCCTCCATCGGTGAAGATGAGGATGAACCGGGCAGCCCTGAGACCATGAGGCGGAGCAAACCCACACGGAAGAGCCAAGAGGGAGTCCCAGGGGAGAGGCAAAGTGAGGCCACCCGGCGCACATCCCCACCTCGACGCTACCCTTCTGAGCCCTTCCTGGCTTTGCAAGAGGACGACCACAGCCCAGACCCCTCTGGTCCCATGGAAACGTTGACCTTCGAGGCGGCCGTGGCCTGCAGCCTGGGACGCTCAAACACCATCAGCACGGCCCGTCCACGCTCGCGGACTGGCTGGCAAGTCCCCAACGGACACTTTCGAAAGCGTCTGGCACAGACAACCTCAGTCGCTAGTTGTGACCCTCTAAGCGACACAGAGGAGGACGACAGGTGCTAGGGACAGGAGGCGCAACATGAACGGAGGAAACAGAATGCCAGAGAGGTGTCACAGGACGCTGTATGACCGCATCCAGAGCGAAGGTTAATGCGACTCTTTCTGCATCAGTGCTTCAAGGCCGCGAGCCCGCTGGATGTTTGGTAAAAAAAAAAATCCAAAATGACGAAGAACAATACTTCCTGAAACTGTAGTTGCCAATTCACACAGAACACTGACAATAAATAAGGTCTATTTCCTGACTTGTACTTGATGATAGAGAGTAATAATATGTCACAAAAAAACAAATGGATGGGTCAAATTATGTCATTTGTGTCAATAGGTATTTTCATTTTCTGGAGATGTTGCTCAATGATTCAGTGTTGCTCTAAACAGTATTTATCTGTGGGGTGTGTGAATATGTAACTACATTTTCTTATAAATCTATTGTTTTGTAAATACATTGTGATCATTACACCATCCCCATATATAAATTAGACCAGATCGACACAGCAAGCCATCATGAGGAGGCGATCTGATACTTACCAGACAATGTGGATACTAATAAGTAACACTCAATGATGCTGGATTTTTTTTACAGTATGAATGAATGTGAGGAGGGAAAACTGCCTGATTTTCCCCCATCGTTTTTTTCTTTTTGCTATTGAACATAATAAGTTGTGAGAAATGAATACAGTTATAGAATAACATAGAATATGATGCTTATTTGTTATTTCACCATGCAGTGTTATGTAAAGCCATGCCACCACCGAACCTCAGATATTTGCAGACTTTTAATTATCCTTTGGAGATGGTATTAAACTTTTATTTTTACCAGTCCAAAAAAAATCCTTTAAATGAGAATTTTTCCCAACCATAATTAAACAGGATGTTTAATTGTTTGCCATGAATACAAAATATTTTCATCTAGTTTCAGTTTTGTTCTGTTTTTTTTTTTTTTAAACTGTGAATATTATACGAACCATATATGAACACTGCAGACACACCACGATGCATTTTGCTTCAAATCTCCATATTGCTCTATTACTTACAAATAATGTACAGAGAAATTATGCTGTTTGTATTATGTAGAGAGAGAGGGACAAAAAATGAAAACAGTGTCAGCTGATGAGCTTTAAACGTAAAGGAATCCTTGGAAAATACTCATTTTAAGGTTTGTGTATTTGTTTTATTTGCCTGATGAAGGCCAATTCTGTGAAACTCACTTAACCAAAAACTTGGAGTTCCTGGAATGCAAATACTTTGTGGGTTTTTATGTGTAAAATAGTTGTATATACAAATAAAGGTGTTCACAAGTTGCCATTGTTACTGTTTATCTTTTTATTTCTCATTTAGGAGGCCAAGTGAGACATCAGAAAGCTTTGTGACATCTTGAGCACTGCAATTAAAAACCAGTCCGAGTGCAACTGGAAACTGTCAGTCTGTACATTTAATTCAAGTACATATTTTGCAAGGAAAACAGCAAACAAGCACAGAAGTTTATTGAAACGTGCTAACATACATGGAAATACAGATATGATTCATCAAGTATATCCACTATCCCGCACATGCCTAGCCTTGTTTCTCTAACTTTGTGTCCAAACCGCTCAACCCGAGCTGTCCCTCTGACGTACTCATTTCTAATTTTGTCCATCCTGCTCACTCTCAGTGAAAATCTGAGCATTTTCAGCTCAGCCTGCTGTCTTCTTCTAAACCTACACAATAGCAGTTCTCACTACCATCTTGTAAACCTTGGCTTTTACTCTTGCTGCTGTTCATCTGTTAGAAATCACCCTTGACACTTGTCTCCACCTGCTCCACACTGCCTCCACTCTCTTCTCCACCTCTTGCGCACTGTCCATTGCTTTGGATGACTGACCCCAGGTATTTAAACTCTTCCACCTACACTACCTCTACTCCTTGAGAGCTTGAAAAGAAGGCAATTGGACTTTTGTAAGTTTGTGAAGACATTTCGCCTCTCATCCAAGAGGCTTCAGATGGTTGAGAGTTCCAGGCAGTAAACCCCCAGTGTGGGGTGGCGCATTGGAGATGGTCCCAAGAGTCACTAACAAACTATTTATCTTTTGAATTGCCACCTAAGCCGAGGAGTGAAAAAAGGAGTCACTGGGGCCAACAGATAAAACCCCTGTAAGACACTGAATGACCATCCTTGCCATAGATGGTGGCTGATCAACTGCCAGCCACCTACAATGTAGTCCTAAGATCCCTTCCAGCGCCCATTGACACTTTGCCTCAGATGACCTCAATAGCTCACGTGATGGCTGGGTGGTGCAATTGCTCACAGAGGCTTTATCAGCTGGCCCTGGCATTTATAAAATGGCCCGTGACTAAGGGTGTAAATACCCTGAAATTGAGTGGAATTTCAATGTATGTAAAGAAAATCATATTAATATACAAATGCTTGAAGGTAGGAACACTAGAGTAAGGTAGTAACAAGTCAGGCTTTTACAGGAAACAAATAATTAAACTAAGTGCAGTAGTGCATATGTAAATTTAAGAACTGCATAATTTCCTGGTAAATTAGCAGAAAAACAAACACTATTTCCCCATTTTGGACCATAAGTACTTAACTCAAAGGTATGCTGTACTTTTGTGTATTACAGGCAAACTTGCCCAACTTCTGAGTATTTTACAGGAAAGGAGAGACATATTATCCTGTAAGAAAGAGTTAGTAAAAAATGTAAACTGAATTATAGAAAATCCATCATTCACATTGAACATAATGAATATTAAATGATGATGTAAAAAAAAAAAGATGCAAAAATATAACATTAATCCATTTCATATTAAAGCCCACTCCCTGAGAAGTACAGCGTACCTACAATGTAAGACTGAGAAATATTGTTTCTCTACAAGATTAACAAACTATTTAAAATTAGTAATGCTGTACTTAAGTTATTACTTACATAATTGTGTCTCCTTTCCTGTAAAATACCTGGAAGTTGGGGAAATTTAAACCACTTCATGATATGGTCTGAATCCCAAAAAGTACAACATATTTAAAATGAAAGATAGAGAAATATTGTATTTCTGCTAAATTACCAGGAAATTACACAGTACTTAAAATGATTTATGCACAATTTAAATTATAATTATATCTGAGTATCCTGTAACACCAACCCAACTTGTTAACCCCTTATTATAGTGTATCTACCATTAAATATTTGTAGGTAAATATAATTGCAAAAAGGGTAATTTCAAATCAAATACACTGGAATTCCATTTGATTACAGGGGAATAACATTCTTAGTCGCAGGCCGTATTATAAAGTGTTACCCGAGTTTATTGCCTTGGACTCCCACCAATATCCTTTGGTGCATTGATTATTTTTCTCTCTGAGTCACTATGAAATGTAATAATGGGGTCTCCTGTGTATATATTATAAAGTCAGTGTTTGCAAATAGAGAGTCTGGTGAAAGAGAGGCTGTAAAGAGGTCAGAGAGTGAAGGAAGGGTTTGAATAGGTGCACTCAGTTTATTAGAAGCACCAGTCCAAACACTGTGGAAAATATTACTGCTAAAGTTACAACAACTTACTTCAGAGAAAGTTAAGAAATATTATCAGGAAAAGTTTCTCTGTAGTTCTTCCACAAATCTGTTACTTAGTCCCAAATGACTAAATGTCATGTGATTTAATCATGTGCACACGTGAGATATAATCATTTAAAATGCAACTAACAAATGAAAAAAACAAACAAACAAAACCCCATTCTGGATAACAAACAACTTGTTAACACCTTACATGTGGAAAAAGGTGCACCCAGATGTATCAGTAATGTTCCCAACCCCTCCCCTAACTATTTGACATATTACCTAATTTCAGCTTCAGATGAGGTTTAAATAGCCAGAGACGAGAGGGCTGTAACACAGCTAAAAAGTCATGAACTAAACATATATAGGCATTGTGCTCTAAAATCTACATTATGTATTTAAAAAAAGTATAATGTAAAAAATATATAATGCACATGCATGCACCAAAACTGGAAATTAGATTTTTTGCAATGAATTACAGTGTTAGCTGTGTGGAAAGTGAAACCATTAGCTTATAAGCAGGACTTTAAATGTAATTATCTGCTCGAAAAAAGGTTATTTATATACTTGTGATACTCTATAAGTATTCCTTCATATTAATATAGTCTTTTTTGTAGCGATTAAATATTTAGAAATACTTTTTAATAGTTATTTATTTTTTTGGCTCTATTTTTCTTTGGCTTTATGTCCAATCAGCATGCACAACTACAACCTACGTCATATGAAACGGACTGATAACATATCCTTTGGCTGAAGAAAGAGCTAGCAAGGAAGCAAACTGTTAAATAATACTCACGAAGTTAAAGGGCGGAAATGTCTGTACATTCAGACACCCAGACAGCTGAGTGACTCGGCCAAAGTTACAGCTAAAGTAGATATTTTGCAGAGACTGCGAGTCTTACACAGGAATGAGCGATACTTATAGAGGAAGTCGCCCAATTGGCTAGCGAAATAGTAGCTAGCTCAGCTGCTAGCTGTCGTTAGCGAGGGGAGTTCTTTGTTTTGTTTTTCAGGTGGAGGTCCAACTAAACATGAAGAGAGACTATTAGTATTTAACTTTTACTTAGGAGTTTTATACGGATAAGCATGTAAAGAGTGCCCACAGCGGTAGTTAGCTGAACAGTAACTAAACAGTTTGTGGTGTAGAAAGTAAACAGCCAAGGGGGGCAACTTTAGCAGCAAATATCTTGTTTGTTGGCGTGGGTCAGGAAAGGACACGACGACATGGGTAACTGTCTCAAGTCTCCAACAGCAGACGACATTTCTTTGCTCCACGAATCCCAGTCAGACAGGGCTAGTTTCGGTGACGGGACAGACCCGGACCTGGAGCCACCTCCGCCCTACCAGGTGAGCAGCTGCTGAGTCTCAACTTCCAGGTGCTTTAATCCAAAAGGGCCGGGGGAGGGGAGAGGAACATGCCCGACACATGAGTAACATCATAGTTTGTGAGGTTAATGTCAGTTAAGAACATACATGCTAACATGCAGTAGGTGGTGATAACAAAGGATAACTCAGTTTCATATCTGTGGCCCTTTGAGAAGTAATCATACATTTAGTATGTGTTAACAGAAGGCATTTATCAAAAGTTGTCAAACCAGACAGCTGCTGCATTATTCACCTTATCCAGCACAGAGCCTAATCTAGTCTGACCACTTTCTTCAGGCACACAGTTAGCTTATAGGGGGAAGCACATGTTTTGGTTTCATATTGTTGTTTTCCTGTTTGTGCTACCAGGAGCAGGCTCACATGCCCATGTACCATCCTACACCCAGCCAGGCTCGTCTGGTCACCCAGCTGACAGAAGAAGAGCAGATCCGCATAGCTCAGCGCATTGGCCTGATCCAGCACCTCCCTAAGGGCGTTTATGATGGAGGGCAAGATGGCTCAGAGAAGAAGATCAGAGAGTGAGCATTTTACATTTCTGAAATATGATGAGCTTACAACAAGCAGGGGTGCGGTCCACAGGGTTGCGTTTTTTTAACCTAAGAACTGAATAGACATTTTGGATCTCAGGCTGGTTGCTTCTCAGGAGTACATCGTAACAAAGTTGTTTAGGAGTTTGGCTGTTTCACAGTGTGTCACACTATTGTTATTATTAATGCAGGAGTGTGTCCTTATAATAGAAAATTATTCTGTCTGAAATGTATATATATTATAGGTTAGATATAATAAAACATAAACAATAAACTTAAAAATCTGAGGGTATGAAGTAAACTCTGTTTAGGTCAGATGTGATGTTGCAGCTGTTTTCAAACAAAAGCAAAATCTGGCTCATTAGCTTGAAAACAAACTGCATTTGTACTTATTCTTTCAACTTTTGTGGCACAAATTACTCTGTCATCTGTTAAAACATCTGTTAGCCTTAAGTAACATGTTTCCTTTAACTCAGCTGGTTCCCTGTTGTGTCCAACATAGTAACAGTGACCAGAAATGAAGCAAAACCACAGTCCATTTTCAAAACTGAAAAACTTCCTCTTTTGGTCCCAGGTTTTTTAGAGCATCTCTGGTCTCTTTAGTTTATCCCCCATCTGCCTCTTTACTGCTGTTAAACCCAGTGACAGAGCTCCTAAGTAGCTGTTAACAGACTGCTATTATACCTCGCTGGCTAGACAGCATTGGAATTTTAGAAATGAGCTATGTTTCAAAAATTAAAAAGCGAGTTAAGAAGTGTTAGTATTAATTGTTGTGTACATTAGTTTTTGCTTCATGTTTTTGGGAATGTGTGTAAGGAAGCTGCACAGTTAGAAGTTTTGATGTTGTGTCAAGCGTTCAAAGTGCAGATGTTTTGAAACACTGCTGTGAAGTGTGTTTCAAAACACCCAGGGCACATGGCTACGGCTAGTTGGAGTTTCGGTGTGTTTAACCCCAGTTTTGACAGGTGGCTTACCTGCTGTTTCCAGGTTTGATTGACATTGTGTAGAACAAATCTGATGACACCACATACACCCAGAAAACCTATAACTTTTTATAGGATTGGAAAAACAAAGGAATCTACAGACAGTTGTGGGATCTTTTTGACAGTTGGGTTGGTGAAACCCACAGAGTACACACAACACAACTGCTGATGCCACTGTAGAGGTCAAAAGATAACTGTTGTTGCAAAAAGACATGATTCACTAGTATTTTGGGAGGAAGTTGTGTTGTATAGCCACACATTTATATCATGGCAAAAAAAAATACCAACACTATGTATGCTCATAACAAAAGTGCCACGTGAATGGATTTTTTTGGAGAGGTAACATATAAAAACAGAATTTGATTCAGCCTGAAAGCAACCAAAAAACCACATTTTTGAATAAAAATCTTTTCATAGGGCAAATATAGATGTTATTACTTGATCCTTTTCTCTTATTCATCTTCGTCAGCAAAATGAGCAACATTCACTCCAATGTAGACTAAACATCTTCGACAAAGATTATTGGCCTATACTTAACCTTCCCATCACAAGAGAAAAAAATTAGGCTATTCAAAAAAACATAAATGGCTCAGAAAACCTTTAAAATTGAGCACACTTTAATTGAACAAAGTTAAACATTGGCCAAACAAATATTTTGTTTATTTTTTACAAGATGTAAGAAACTGTTAAACAGGTACCTTGTTAGTTAAATCACCTTTTAAATGTAATTTTGTGCCATTTATAAAATTGCAACACACACACACACTGTGCCAGCACTAGCAGCAGGAGTATCGGTTTCTTCCACGTTAGTGTCCACACCATGAGGTTACACGTCACTTTTTACTGTTTAGCCATTCAAAACCAAAACCGATAGTTATTTATTAAGCAAATACGCTAAATTTTATATCCGTTTGAACCGACACACAGTACTTCTGGCAAGTCAGAAGTCTATCAAGCATAACATGAAGAATACAAGTAAGTATGAATAAATAAGTAAATGTGGTTCGCCATTTTAATCAAATAATAATAATAATGATGTGCTTTGCTGTTTTTTTTCTGCATTTCTGTAAAATGATATATTTGAAAATTCTTGGATAATAACAGTTTTTATATCTTAATATTATAAATATTATTTTGGCTAAAGAGTTTGGTTATATTTATAGATTAACCATTACAGAAACATGAAAATAATTTTTGGTAATTACCAATACTGTTAATTTTGGGCAGCTGTGACATAAACCTTACACCAGGTATTGTTCTAATAAATAAGCATTGTGGGGTTTTTTTCATAACTGCTGTTGTACATAAGCAAGCATAATGTGTTTAGGTGACTGGGCAAGGGTAGAAACATTTTAAATGTCTAGTGTCTCCATGGTGTACTGGTTAACATGTTGTTCTTACTCATGAAAGAGCCCCAGTTTGAAACCAGAGGAAGACACAAGCAGAGGGTCAAAAGCTAGTGCACTGCCTGTGCTGTTCCCAAGCATGGGTAAATGGGAGGTTTACATCAGGAAGGGCATCCGTTGTAAAATCTGTGCCAAATCAAACATGTGGATCCATCCACTGTGGTGATCCCTTTGGGGACAATAAGAGAGCAGTTGAACGTAGCTTTAAAAGGACTGAAAATGAGACTGAAATGAATTTAAAAACCAAACTGAAACGAACAAATCCAATCTGGAAACGTACCGTGGCTAAAATTAGTTGAAAACAAAGAGTCAAAGCGAAATAAAATAAAATCTAATTAGAAAATACAAAACTATAATAACCGACAATTGATTTCGGATACCTGTGGGAAGTCTTTTTTTAGAACCTGTAATATAATGTTCGTGAGGGTCCGACACTGTTGCTGACAGTTATTCTTGTGTGTGGTGCATTGTGTGTTAAAAGCCATGTGATGTGTCCCGGCAGTGTACATGCAGTGCCAGCCAACCGAAACAAATAAAATGCTGGGACTTCTTTCCCTCCTGGGTCTCTGCTCTTTGTTGTGGTCAGGTTTTTTAGGGGGGGATAAACATTTTTGTCCCTGTAGTTTTCCCACTTCTTTGTGCATTCCCTCACATCCATCCCAATGGTTTCAGTAATCTCTCTCCAGGAGAGCATGCTTATGTTGGTGATTATTATTCCTTATACTAATGCTATGAATATTATTCTCTCACTGATACATTTAAAAACAGTGGTGAAAAAGTAGCTGTATACGCAGAGGATTATTTGACTGTATTGAACAGGCATGTGTAGTTCAATTTCTAGGGTGCAGATCAGGTTAATGCCTTAGATTTACCACTGAATAAATCCCCAATTCAACGCAAAGTCTAAATCAACCTTTAGTTGTGTGGACATTTTTATGGGTTAATGATTAACTACTGACTATAAATTGGATTTGTAAAATCATAAGCTGTGTAATTGTTTTAGTTAGACCGATCAAACAAAGCAGATTAGAATGAGCGCTGGGTCTGTCTCGTCACAACTTCCAGTGACTTAGAGCTGAAAATCAGAGGGTATAAATGGAGAATATTTTGACATTTTATTATTAAACAGTCAATGATGAATTGATAACGTGTAACTGCGCTACATTAAAGCATGAATAATTTCAGGTTTAGGAGAACACTTCATGTAGAAAGTCTGAGAAGATTTCTGCTGTCGTGTGTTTACGCGGACTGTTTTATCTGTTTTCAGATGCGTGATCTGTATGCTGGACTTTGTTTATGGGGACCCCATCCGGTTCTTGCCATGTATGCACATCTACCACATGGACTGTATAGATGATTGGCTTATGAGATCCTTCACTTGCCCCTCCTGCATGGAGCCTGTGGATGCTGCCCTGCTCTCCACCTACGAGACCAACTGAATTTTCCATCCCTTCTTCCACCGAATCGATATATCAAACCCCCTCCAGCTCCCAAAACCCAGCAGCTGCCCTCTTATAGAGCGAGAGGAGCTGAAAGAAAAAAAAAAAATTAAAGTGTTGGCTTTTGTCTTGCACTTTAAAAGTTTCCAACTCACCTAACGTTGGCCTTTCATACCCCTGGTCTGATTCCAGATTGAGCTGGTCTTAAACATCTGTTACACAAGTCGGTAAAAGACAGGTGTCCCAGCGACCCTGCATGGTTGTGTTTCTGTGTTTCTGTCATGCCTAGGCACTCTCCAGCTTTGCCGCTAACAGCGAGCATGTGGCATTTGTGTCTAAAAGAGCTGTTTGGTGACTGCGTTTCCACTCGAGCGGGTCTCAGTGGCGTTCTCCCCATCGGCCAGCACCTTTATTCATCACTGATCACGACTTAAATGAATAATTTGGTGAACAAATTATTGATGAAAATGCTCGGATGATTTGCCAGATATGTGTTGGCAACAGTAAGACCTTTCAAACATATTGATCTGTTAAACACATTAAAGTAGCCCTGCCCTTTGGATATGTGGGAATACACTGCTGACATTTACACTGTTGGTGTAGAGAAGAAGCCAAACACGATTACAAAAAGAAAACACTTTACAGAAGTCACCCAAAGTGTAAAAGTATACAGTGGTGTACTTTATTTATATCAAAACTACTTCATATGTGTCTTTAGCCGTTCCTCTAAAAATATATTTTGAATTCAAGGGAAAACAAAGTAGAGTTTTGTAATGTTTGACCAGACGATGTGTTGTAGCTGACGGCCAGTGTAAAGGGCTCATTTGTGCATGGGCAGGTGGATCAGTCAGTGGAAATTAGAAGCGCTTGCACACACTCTTCATCTGATCCAGAGATTTGCACTTTACTCCTAGGACAATATGTAAAACAGTATATTAATATATGTACATTATAACCTTGCACTATCAATACTTCATTCCTTTTATCTCCTGAGATGCAAAAGTTATATAGCTGATAAGGATGTTTTTAAAGCCGTCAGTAGTCACTTATCACATTGAAGTAATCCTAAACACGCATTTCATGAAATCTGTGATTCATGGTTTTGTGCAATTTCTTTGATCTTTTTTTCTTTGTATGTGTGTAATTGAAGGGACAGAGGCTTGCTCAGCTTTAAAGGAATGGTTTGACATTAAAGCTTCTTCAAATTCTTGTTGAGAAGAATTTTTAATTTCTCATAGATCTATTAATGATTTCTGATTGGACTAATTTCCAACTCCAAATGATTATTTGGGGGTTTTCTTTATAGAGTAACTTTGCAGGATTCTGATTGGCTGGCCCTTTAGAACAAAAGGTATTTACAGTACGTGTTTGTGGCTTGTGTGGTCGCAGCTGCAGCCGTGCACGTGACTGTATTAAAAAATCTGCTCTCGCCGACTTCATACAGATCCAAGAGTAGAAAAAATGCTTGAAACCAAGCCTCTAGAGCAGACTGAGTCTGACTCGGGCGTAACACCCACATATTCTTCATTAAATGAAGCTTTTCTCCATAGTTAATATGAGCACCACCGATTTAAAAAGTGTGTTTGTGACAGAAAGTAAGAGATCAACAACATTTTAAATACAAAGGGAGAACGTTCTAACCTGGATCTCACCGAAGTCCAAACCCACACCAGCATGTTCACCATCATCATTTGTTTCCATCTGAAGATGAACAAACAAGATTTAAGTTGTTTCATGATTTAATTTTATTGTGGTTTTTGTGCTCTGTAGACAGAGCCGGGTGAGCTGTTCCCACGCTTTATGCTAAGCTAATTGCATTCCCTAATCCAGCTTCATCCCTAACAGAGATAACCTTTGTCTCTAAGCAAATAATGTTGAACTGTTCCTTTAATAAAGAAGCATTGTGTGGCATAGCTGGTTAATTCTGAATCTACATGAATACAGTTTTAAATTCTACGCAAATATTGATCACATTTCTTTTTTGTTTTGTTGCGCATTATTGTCTTTATTTCTGTAGTAGACGTTACATTTATTGCTTTACTTTTTACTTGTGCTGTTTTGGTGGTGGTGGTGTTGGTGTCTCTTTCACATTTTCTGTTATGTGTGTAAAACCCATCTTGTATTGAAGTATCCAGCTGTTTGGTACTGTCTGGTCGTGCAAACCTGTCCTGGCTGAATTTTCAGAGTGTGAGAGTTTTTCCTCTCATGGTTTGACAGTTAAACCTGAGATCATCTTTTTCACTGAGCTTTCCTTTGCTGTGTTTTCATGAATATTTCTTTATAATCTTCTTTTGTTTTGTTTTTTTGGATGGCTAAGGACCCTTTGTGTAAATAAAATAATAATTAAAAAATTGAAAAATGATATGCGGTTTTGGTTTATTAACATAGAAGCATCCATTGACTTACCCCGAAACTGCTCACATCAGCCAGTGAAGTGGGCTAAATAATGGGGCAGATTTGTGGCCCTGTGATTACCAAAGTAAGAGATTACAGAAAACACAAAAGCAAAAACACTCCTTTTGAGCTTTTTCATTAATGCAATCCTCAAATCTGGCAGTGGAGTGGAGAACGTGACTACATAATGAGCGCTGTGTGATTTGACTGATGTAGCAACTCAGGCAAAGCCACTTTGTTTCCTCCGCTTGCATCAGCTGCCGAGGAAAACATGAGCCCAGTTGGTGCCCGTTTCAAGCGTTTCTATATGTGACGCTCAAATATCTGAGATTGGAATTACAATTGCAAAAACCACAAATTTAAATCCTTGTTTTAAGTACGATAAAATGTGGCATATAAAGGCTGCGCATCCATTTCTTAAGCACCTTTTGAGACGAATGCATTGCAACATGCGCTTTGTTTCCTCAGATATAAGAACCGACACAGTTAATCAGCTTTGCAGTGCTGCAAGATCTGCGTGCCTTTACTGTTTTTAGATTAAAACTCAAACAACTTTGACAAACACGAGGACAGACGTGGAAAGGTCCCCTATTCGTTTGCGACCATGAGATTTTTGTGTGGCAACATATTAAAATTGTACTAATGCCTCAAGAGTTTAGGCTGAAGGATTAGTTGAACTGCTCGTATATGCATCGCTTACTGACAGAATGCTTGATTTACTCCTCCCTCATAAATAAAAAACAAAGTCTTTTTGTCTCAGTAGGCAGTCGTGGAGCTGGCAGGAATGCAGTGTTGCTCAAAAATTTGAAAGAAGCAACGCAATACAACAGAGAACTTAAACCTCAGATGAAAGGCAAAATACTTTGTCACTCTGTGAGTAGCAAATGAACATGGTGTAACAGATCAACACAAAATAACAAGTGCATTGATAGTTACGCATTTATTTTTGCATCCATGACCCATTTATATGAAAAATCATGTGAACAGATCCTCTTTTTTCTTTACCAGTACTGACAGTTTCAAGCTTAGACATTTTAGTTGAGATTTATTATCATGGCTCAGAAGGCATCCAGCAGCCTACGCTGCCTGCAAAGGAGGACATGCAATCACTTTCTCAAAAACAGCTCGACACAATGATCAGTTTGTGCCATTGTTCTAATAATGAGTGGCAGCTGGTCACAGAGAAATATGCAGAGTCACGAATCATTAGGGTTTGTACATCCCATGAAAGGTGACGGGAATAGTGCACTCCACCTCTGCCCTGGCAACCTCAGAAAGATCCTTGGCGTTGAGGATGAGGAGGTATGCTGGTCTCTGGGCACCGGGAGCTGCAACAATGGTAAGCAGCACACCTGTGGGGACAGCAAACACCAGCCTTGCTTAAAAATTACTTCTTACAATACAAGTAATTGTTAAAACACACTGCATGGAACATTATACTTTAACTGCTGTAGACTTACCGTCATCCTCATCGACAGCATCAGGAGTCTGTACAAACAACGGCTCTGAGGGGTAGGAGTCGGGCTCCTGCCATACCCAGGTCTCCTTGGTCTTCACGTTCAACTTGCAGATCTACACAGAAATCAAAAGAAAAAAAATCAACCAAAAAAAATATTTTTCCTCACTCACAGTCTGAAATCTGCTGCTCTAGTCTCTTACTCTGTCTGGTATGAAGTGGTTGAGACCCAGGGCGTAGGCGTATGTGTAATTCTTGCCGCCATACCTCTTGTAGTTAATCTGAGGAAACTCAAAAGCTACAAAACCAAAGAATAACAAAAGATCACTCAGTAGCCATTCATCCCTTTTTGTCCACTTATCCTATTTAGGGTTACGATTGAGGGTGGAGCTGTCATAGAGCAAGAGGAAGGCTACACCCTGAACAGATATGCTAACCTTCACACCTACAGTCAGTCACCAGTTAACCCTGTGTATGCTTTTTGGATGTTTGTACTCATAGTCCACACAGAAAGGCCCCACACTAGAATCAAACCCAGCACCTTCTTGCTGTGAGGCAACAGTGCAAACCAATGCACAACTCAATCATTCAGTAAAGTCTAAAAATATCATCTTGAAAAATAGCTGCATTGTCACCTTGGTGAGGACTGGAGAACAGCACCTCAGGCTCAAGCCAAGTCGACCCATCAGCGTACATGGTGGCTGTAGCTGTGGTGTACGGCAGGCTCACCAGATTCTTCCCCTGCTCCTCCTACATCAAATCCAGATCATGGTCAGAACAACCAAACCTTGCATTTGTTTGTAGAAGATTTTATCAGTCTGATGAAAGAGAAAGGTGCTCACCTTGTGGACATCCAGGGGAATGACGTATCTGCGCACCTCCGGCTGGGGGGCGAGCATGGCTGCCTTCTTCACCTCGTCCCAGTTAGCCCTCAGGTTCGCCAACCAGAGGTAGTTGTAAACAAACTCAAAGCTGCAACACAAAAATGTTCATCAGCATTAATCTTGCTGGATCAAACAAATGCGGTCGGTCGAATGCTTCAGTTACCCTTTCCAAGCACAAAGGTCAACAACAATGAACCCCTGGTCCTCGAAGGCATTAATATGATGAAACATGCCAATAGGTGCTCCTTTAAACTTGAGATCGATGTACTCTCCTGGGTCTTTCTTGGCAATGTGGAACAGGGTCTACAAGAGAACATCAGAGCTTCAGATGAGATTATAGAAGGAGAGCAGCCAAAAACACCAGTGTGGGTTTTTTGTGGATTTAAAGATATTCGTTTGGCTCCTTACTCCTTGGCTCTCATTGGATTCGAAGCAGTCCATGTAGTTGCAGCCACGGATACTCCAGGCACTCAGGAACTTCAGCAGGTTGATTTTCACAGGAGTCTCCACAAAGACAAAGTAGTTGTCTGTCTTGCCGAAACTGAAGTAGATAAAAACACAAAACAATAAAAACCCATCAACTAAATTCAGTTCAATTCAGTTCAGTTTTATTTACATAGCTCCAAATGACAACAACAGTTGCCGTAAGGTATTTTATATTGTAAGGTAGAGACCCTTCAATAATACAGAGAAAACAATCAGTAGACCCCCTGTGAGCAATCACTTGGGCGACAGTGGGAAGGAAAAACATTTTTTAAGAGGAAGAAATCTCCGACAGAGCCAGGCTCAGGGAAGTGCACCCACCTCCGAGTGTGAGGCAGGACAAAAATAACACTGAATCACGCACACAGACTCACAGACATGTGGACACACCTGTGCACGTAGGAAGGCTTGAATCTCTGATAGCTGGGGAACTGCACCACCACCTTGGACTTGTCGATCGGATCAGATTTATCTACAAAAGAAAAAGTTGTGGTGTTTTAAAGGGATCACTCACTGTTTCGAAGTCTCTGCTTGGTCCAACACTTCATAAAATCTATATGATGTTTACACTGACAGAAAATACAACCTTTTTCATAATTTATATTTTTGCACTTTAACCTTACTTTCTATGTCTGGGGTACTCACACTGTTGTATTTTAATCCGTGGGTATATATATATATACCCACGGATTAAAATACAACAGTG